ATATATATATATATATATATACAGCGACGCCAAGATATATGCAGTCCTCATAGAAAGTTTTGGGAGAGTGTGTACGAGATTGCAGAGATACTCGTAGCCTTGAGTTGTTACGTGACCGTAGTAACTTACCCAGATATTTTACAAAGGGCGATAGTCCTTAAGACATAGAGATTTTGATCAGTAACTGCACCTGTACTTCTTTATGTAGAGATTTTTCTGAAGTTCGTTAATGCGTTATGATATGATTGATTAAAGCACCTCAGCCTATTAATAACTGTTAACCCAGCATCCACATAATTTACTCACTCATTCAGCAATTCATTAACGTGTGCATGTGTACAATTGAACCCAATTTCCAGGTCCTTGCTCTGCACCAAGATTGCCAGGGCATTTGTCGTTATCGTCACTGCACTCGTAAGGCGGATGTAGATGCGCATTCAATATATGTATGTGATCCGACAAGCTAGCATATATATGTGTATATATAGGATCTACAAAAACGGACGCTAATCAAGTTACTCGAAAGTTGTAATTTAAGTGTAGATTGTGGTTTTAGTAAGTTTATCACAAAGTTATACAGTTCAATAAACGCACAAATGGTTTGTTTCATCTTCTATTCAACTTTAAAAATCGTTTTCAACGTACTCTACGAATTAATTTTGCTAACGTTTGCTAACCACTTTACAGCATCGTGACGACTTTCTACGATGTGACCTGACGCCTAGGCAACATGGGCCCGCGTAAAAACGTGTCACCGAATTGGACGCTGAATTACCGCACCGCAATTACTGATCCACTGCCATTGACCTGTGATTATGTAGATTGCAGTGATCCAATCATTGGTCAACTGCGACTGCAATGGCTCGACCGGTATCGAAAATATGGCAATATACTACCGGCGTTTCTGCGTCTAAAATCCTGCCTGTTGTTCCTTCACCCCTGTACTCTTTCAGCATTAGTTCTACTAATGGCCGCGGCGACTATTTCAGTATTGGGATTAGAAACTCAGCCGACGCCCCTACATGAAATTAACACATCTCTACCACTAACACAAGCTCCATCGTCAGGTAAAAGTAAAGCTTGCGCAGAGTAACTTTGAAACAGGATTTATATATATGAAGAAAAATCACTTGGCGGTTTGCGAGACTACATTTTGCGTTTATACGATGTAAATAATGATTAATTATCTAACTGTTATACTTAACTATAGTGATACAGTTTCCTATAATTAGGATAGATCAGCCGCCTAGAGTAAATCCCAACCTAGTTTCGCACGTAAGGCTTGAAACATGGATTACCGTCTATTGTTATCTTCTTGTCGGCTATCTTTAGAATTTTTTTTTCAGTGGTACAACCAAGCAGACCTTATGGTAGGCAAATTTGACCACTGCATAATAGTTCTATGCTCCCGTAACGATTAGAACAAAATAATAACGTACCTGTGTATTATTAAATGCAGTGCTTTTGTACCTTCAGTTGTCGGATATTAGTAACTACATTTTTTTTATAATAGTTTTTTTTAACTAATTCCAGTACGCATGTTCTTATATTGTTATTCATCTTTCGATTATATTCTAACAAAATGTAAAAAAAAAAAACAAGCCTAGCATTCCATGTGAGGTGCGGCAGAAATGGGCAAATGTGAATTAGCAGGTAGCCAAATATAATTTAATGGTAATAATATTCCAGGTAGTTGAATTACTTGAGTATAGGGTGCACCTGAACCGAAGTGATTTGTTGTGTATCCATGCTGAAAAAAAAACTATATAGAAATTAGAGAAAAATATCCATCATTTTATCTCTAGCGCTGTAAAATTGCCTCGTAGACATCTCACTCGCCGACCGCCTGTCAAATTGAAGTAATTCGTTTATTGTAGCTCCATTACGATTATGGGATGCGCTCTGCTAGTAACAATTGCAATACATTTAAAAAAATTGCCGTTCTAGTGTTTGCATTGGGTATCCCACAAGAGTCCGGCCACTGCCCCAGGCTCTGCGAATGCATATGGAAGATGGGCAAAAAAACGGTTCTGTGTGTCGGCGCCCAACTCACCGAAGTTCCTCAGAAACTCCACAAAGATACCCAAGTCAGTATCACAACCTCACGAAGAGAAATGCGATATATTAGAACGTAGTAGTGTAGAGTTCAACATAGGTAAAGGTTAAGGTAAATTTCATCTGACGCTCGCTCTATGTGCGTAATAAAACTAAAATGAAAATGTCGTCCTTGGACAACTTGTTATCGTCTCTGATAAGCTAATTACACAGCGTTTAATTACAGAACATAAATGAAAAACATAAGCTGTCATTTGTCGGACCATAAATTCGATTTTGGAACATTCATTACTACTCAATGTTGTTCGTTTACCTCTGTCGAGCCTGGTACTCATGAACGTATAACCTCCTGAAGTATCATTGTAAGTTAGCTACTTAACATATTCTAATATATTGTTCTACGCTCAGTCGTTACATACGCTTTTGAAACATCTGATTTTTAGCTTTCTGTAACAAACCGCGCTGCTGAGTCAGGGCGTACGGGACTCGATTCGATCAAATACTGGTAGACTAATGAAAGCTGAAAGGAAGTTTATTTATTATAATGTTACCTGAATGGTAGTGCAACGGTAACTTGCTTGCCTACTAAAGTTAGGGACTATGAGAGATTCCATGGAATGTTGCGTCTCGATTCGGGTAAACTTTATGGCAATTTATCTATCATAGCAGGCATGCGCTTACCCGTCATTTTCAAGACTAGAAAATCCCCTTTAAAACGGAAGCAACGAGTTCTTTATAGCGGAAAACAGTGCTCCGGTTCCGCAATTAGCGAACATCAGTTACCAAACGACCTCCTCGGGCTGGACGAACTATCGCCTAAACTTAAAACTTACTTTCCTGATCGAAATCGACGGTTTACGTTATTTTTATGCAGCTTCTGAAACAATCGAACAACACCTTCGTGAAGTAAACTGAAGTAAAAACTTCGTGAAGTAAAATAAAGTTTTGTTTTAAAGAGCTCAAAAGATCATTTTTGAAATAGCTGATTTTTTGATAGCGGCCGCTTTAGAGAGGAAAATATTCCTTGGCAATTTCATCGTCTAAGTAGGCTCCGACGGTACGCTTTTTGCGAGACGTTTGCACCTTCTGTGTGTCTGGAACACCTGGTTTACTATTGAGTTGATCTCCTCCGGGATCTTTGGTTAATACCATAATTAAACGAGTTTACATGTATCGAGATACCGCTCAACGGTTGCTATTAGTGTTTTATCGGAGAAGGGAACTAACGTTGTCTTTGATTTCTATTTATTGCTTGTCGAAGGTTCTAGATCTTTCCGGAAATATTCTTCAGACATTTGAGTCGCGGGAGTTCCAACGCCTTGGCTATACAAACTTGCAGCGGCTTTTTGCTTCACGCTGCGGTTTGGTCCATCTGGCAGACGAATCGCTTCAGGTAGTCATACAGTAAATACCTTCGAGACTAATATATGGCTGGATTGGCATGTTCGCTGGCACAGGGTGAAGAGACATGAGAAGACACCCTTACAACACGATGACTACCCGCTGTTCTGCCTATTCAAACTTTACCTGCACAAAGCGAATAAAATTTACCTTTATGGGCGTATCTTTAGACGCGGTGCCAATTCTATCACAATGTTCTATAGGTATTTCGATAATTTGATAACTTATAACGATATAATCAAAACTATATATATAAGATACTGGGGTTTAGGTTGGTAGATAAGCCTTTCAAAAAACCTAGGGGGCGTTACGTTATTATTGATACTATTGTCATCACCGCCATTTACTCACATACACCTCTGTTGGCTGTTGTCGGATGGCAGTTGCTGCATAATCTCGTCAACCTAGATCTCAGCGCGAATTTCCTCACCAGGGTGCCAACGCGAGCTTTGTCGGACTGCTTGGCCTTGCGGAAATTATCACTCAACAACAATCCCATCGAAGTTTTACATGACGATGCGTTTTTGGTGCGTATTATTCAGACTGTTTTAGTAGATAAGGCATCGCTTTATACAGCCAACGTATGTAAATCTTAGCAAATATCCGATGTTCTCCCAGTGGCTTCTGCACACTAATATCTGATGATGGTAATTGTTGAAGCAACGATGAGCTTTCTTAGAATCGTTTGCCAATAGAATGATTAATTAAGGCTACTAATTAGGTTCAGCTTGTTAAATGATTTTTTTGCCTTTGGTATGCTGAGCTAAAATGTTGACAACGAATGCTCTAATGGGTTACTTTTTGTAATACCTTTTATTATTTATTTATTTATTTATTTGTTAGTTACGAAAACGAGACAAAACGCCTGTGAGCTTCATTCAGACATTTAGCTACATAACAATCTATCGCTAAGAGCCGGCTTCTGTAGTACACAATTATATTTCGCTCAAGAAGAGCCTAGTGGGTGAATAACATGAAGCCTCTGGTTAAACCTAACCGTGCAGGTTGCCAGCGGGAGGGGCACAACGTTTCAATATATTGTTATGTTTTATCTGCTGTGACATGCACGTGTGCGACCGTTTCCGCTAAATATCAATCATCCGAACTAATCTGGGGGCGGAGTGCGCAGGTTTTTATTTATCGACCGTAGAATATGTCATTGCTGGCCCTTGTTTGGTTCAACTACATTTAGTTATATGCCATCTACTTTATCCTTTATACTAAGCGAAACAATCCCTAGTGCTAATGGAATTTGCCTTAAAAACCGTTCCTATTGAACTATAATGGATATATGATTAACAGACTGTTAATTAAGGTTGCGTGCCAGACTTCCACTCATTGTACGTTGCCTTCTACCACATATTAAAGAAACTACTACTAATTTGCTTTTTTTTTCCCTCAAATTTGCGTAAACTAAGCAGAAACTCGAGCCTTCGTTGCCTACTATCAGTAACTATATAAGTATCCGCGTCAAGTTATTACTCGAGTCCGTTAAACTACCGAAACCATGGATGCCTCGAACACGATCATACCACAATACATTCGTTCTTCTGCTTTCTGCCTGCAGTGCACTATATTCATCGAATGTTTTTTTTTGACAATTTTCAAGATTGCATATAGCTGGTTAGTCAAAGGAAATTTAACAGTTCCCTGCCCTTTTTCCACGAGCACGACGCGGCAATATGAAGTTGATTTTATGCTCACTCAATTTTAGCTATATCTTGCAGCTGTTTTTTAACCCACATGTTTCAGTGACCCCAAAATAACAGTCTTATTTATTGTGACTCGGATTTGCGCAATTAAAAAATGTTGTTAGCTTGGTCTATTCAGTTAATCGGCTGTTGTTAGCTCGTTAAAAGTAAACTATTGAGCAAAATTGAGGTAAACGTTTTTCATGCTTTATATATAGCCAAATAAACACAGGATTTTAATCGATGACCGTGTACCATTTTTCTAGCATGATCTGTGTAATTTCTAGGCGAAAAGTAATTTTGTAGATCAAATCGCATTGGAATCAAATTAGCACTATCAAAGGAGTGACGCAGAGACCGAAACAGATGATAGCGTCACGCCGCAAGACTCGGCATGTACGTTCGAATCCTGCCCTGTCCTTTTTTGTCCTATTTTTATCAAGTAGCTCAAAATATACGTGATCGAACATTGTCGTGGTGGAAGACGAGACCTTCTCCGTCCACTATTTTCAATAGGTTTTTTTTCGGTGTTAAGCCTGTCAGTGTCAATTGTTTAGCCAGGCAGTAGCAACTCATCTTGTATGGTTCCTTTTGAATTCCACAAACCAATCGTCACTTCCTTTTACGTCAGTCTGGGCTTTGTCACAGCTTTTTTTCATCCTACTTTTTTTTATTTACACGTTATTACCGCATATAATCAACCACCTTATTTTTGGATCGAGTTCCTGTAAAATTTCGCAAAATGGAATAGGATTAAGGGAATTTTTTTCCCTCGGTTCTTGTGACGCCTGAACATCTGACTTTTTTAGTAGCCAGCTTTCTGCAAATAGTTTAGCGTAGGGCGTTTAGTTTTTTGTCAATAAAATGGCTGAATTTTTCCAATAATTCCATTCAATTTTTTTTGTAATTGATCGACCACCACAGGAACATCTTTGATATATCAAAATTTATGAAAGGGCCATCCCCTTCGGTAAAGTATTTTTAGCATAAGTAACAGAATTTGTTTAATGGGTCCGAAAAACATCTGTGCCTTCATCATAATAGAAGCGAAAAAAGACCCATAGCGAAATATCGAAGAAATTTTACAGATATTTTACGTATACATTTTACTTTAACTACGAATAAAAGGATTTTTAACGTATATTGCTATCAAATAACATAAACGCTGACCCGGCGCGGGTCATACCACCTGATATATGTGACTCTGAGGCTAGCTAGCTGGAAAGACCGTCAATAATTTTCAATCAAATGAAGACAATTTAATTAATCAGTTAACCCACGTAACTACAGCGCCCTTGATCGATCATACAATATTCTTGACAACAATTATACCATCGTGGGGTAAGGAAACAAAGAAGATAGATGAGCTTCATCAAAGCCAAATACTGGCCAACCCCACTGAGGAAATGTTATACAGCTGCTTTATATGATGCTGACAATTATGCCTAACGCCTTGTTTCTGACTTGACAGTGTCAAAAGCTACAATTTTAGTCCCATAAGCATGAATCAATACGAAAACTCGTTGACCCCAATGCTTACTCGGCTAATATATAGTCCTGTTAAAACCGAACGCCATCATGAATGCAGTGACAACGGAACTATCTATTCCGTACACATATATACATATATAGCACGTCAGATTAAACCGAAAAATGGCTGCACTATTTGTGCTTAAATATACAATCAGAACGAATTAGAGTGTAGTGAACGAAGTTTACATTGTTGTATCGTACAGTCTATTGTAAAATAAAAGAAGGACATGTTTCAAAGGCTGTCTCTGCAGGTCCAATGAAATAACTAAATAATATATATATATATATAAAATGTCTTTTTAGGGTTTAGGCCGTCTAGGTACGCTCGTGCTAACCAGTTGCCAACTGAAAACGATCGATCCGCATGCGTTCCGAGGCCTTCGTCTTCTTGAATTCCTAAGGTTATCGCACAACTTTCTAACCAAAGTACCTCCTGAAGCATTCGCTCAGCATCTTTCAACTCAGCATCTACACGGAGTTGACCTTGAGGTAAGCATTGGCCCTTTATGTCTAGTTTTGCTAAGAATAATAGGTTAATTTTAATAACTAATTTCAAATATCAACGCTCCACTGCTCAGTTAATACAAACAATATACGTCAAAATATATATATATATAATCAGACTAGTTTCTTTTGTTTGTCATCGTAACGAATACGATCTTAGAGTCATGATTCCTATTGGCTATTGATGACTATTAGTTCAGTGGCACTATTCAAAGATTAGAAAGATTTCCTCAAATATCGTTTAACAGCAAAACACATAGATTGGCGCTAAGGTATTCTCTAGGAAAAAGGGATGGACCTGTTCTCCTTGGGCTGAACATTGTTGTTACTTGAAAGTGTAGTGTGTTGCAATACCATTGTTGTACTTCAGTACGGCATGTACATCAGGGGAACATATCGTAGAGCTATGTTTAAACGATTTAGATATTCGATAATCTAGACAGTCGAACAACAAATCAATGACATCCTCTATACAATAGAAATGTGTAAACAAACAAAAAAAAACCTACACAATCTTACGTGTCTACCTGTTTTAGGAAAATCCCTGGATGTGCGACTGCAAGATGCGGCAAGTTCGACAATGGATGTCAAATAACAATATTCCATTACCACTGCCACCGAAGTGCGCGCAGCCTTCGAGGTTACAAGGTAGATTATTTCTTTATCTATTTGTATATGTTCGACATTAGCTCGTCTGTCTATTCGATATGGTGCAATATCCACCTTGTACCTTTCATAGTCACGCTCGAACTACTAGTTATTGAGCTACACTCAATTAGATAATTTCTGTCGTGTTTTCAAAGCTTATAGGCCTTCAGCCTAGTTATTCAAACTTTCAAATACTTTCAATGGGTGTTCCACCGCTTTTCACGTTCAATCGTCCATTACCCGCTTCTTTTAAATGGCCATATATTTACAATCCTTGTTCATAATTTTCCTCCATTGCCTCGGGCACGTAGGACTGCGGTCCCAGCCATTGCAATAACGATTTCAAGACCGAAACTGATGTAAAGATCGGCTAGAAAGTGTTCGCCGGCATCAGTGTCAGCGTTGTCGTAGTCGTTCCGAAAGTTTTACTTTCTTTGCGCCACGGAGAACGAAAGTTGAAGAGGAGAGAGGTAAAGAAAATATAGGGGGGGTACAAAGAGGAGAAGAGAAGGGGTGTAGACCATGGCCTACGGCGTTATACAACACAGCAGCCCGTAAACTAAACCTTCTCCCCGTGTCGTGCTTTGCCATTGTATCGCACTACTCTTATTTCCCTTTTGGCTTGCCACCAACTTTCGCTACTTTTTTTTGCCTGCTGTTGCAGTAGTTTTGCACACCCTTATGTACATGCAAGGTGAAGATAACTAGGGTACCACATATTATAGGCAATGGAGAGGGTAAACAATACAATTGATCGACGAGAAGATGCGCGTATGGGTCTACGGGTAAGACTATGTAGGCTAAACTTTACCGATGGTAAATTCAGACCTGTGATGAGCCCCGTGGCGATCTTTCGATCGACTAGTGAATCTAGTGAGGTTGGTGGATTTCATCGGTTTCGCTGATGAGTTGCGGTATAATACAGTGGATTGGCGGACGGACTGTGGTGCGTACTTTCAATACAATATTGATGCCTGATGCACATCGACGCTTTGATGATGTAGTCGATTGGTCAGATATTAAAGGTTAGCCGTTCCTGTTGTTCTACCTTGCAATGAGTGAGATAAACGGTCATGAAACAGCACTTGCTGCTGACATACAACTGATCCTAGTTACAGCATTGCATTACTTCATTTGGGAGGCCCAGTTTCGTCCATTTTCTAGCGAGATACCGATGTTCACCAAACACAGAATCAAAACTGCTATAGTTTACGTCGGTTTGAACGTTCCGCCATATATATATATATATATATATTTACGTTAAGATAAATGTCATCATACTTGTACATATACATGTTGCAAGACATGGAGCATAATCTTCGTATCGTCGGTGGTAATTGTAAAGTATCTGCGTTTTTTTCCTAGTTGTTGGCGTATAGAGCGACATGAGTATAGATAGGTCGCTAATATAGTTTAAGGCAAACATTATCGTCGTTTTCAGGCTCCAAATGAAAATAAAGGTCAGTCGACAACAGGCGCGAGAGAAACGAGCAGCGCGTTAAGAATCGTATATTGTATTACATATATTCGGAGATTGCTATTCAGAGTAAACCAGTCCGTAGGCTGTAACGACCTAATTCTACTCAGTTTGAATTACAGTGTATTATTGACCCGTTAAAAAGTGTTCCGTTTGTTTTTCCCCATACATGATTGATTTAAATCGAATTCCTTTAAGTATTAGCGTCTGCTGAACGCAGCAAAGGGAGATACGCAACAGAACTACGACTTGGTAACTTCTGTCAGTGTACCTGTCCATAAATGCTCAATATTGCCTCATACTGCCGGCCCTTCCCAACATGAAACGAGATGTCCTTACGCTTGCTTTGTTTGACCGTACTAGATATGAGCAGCTAACGATTCGTTAGGGATAGAATTTTCAAATGAACTCATTTTTCAATAATGGTAACGTTTCAGAGTTTCCTCAGTAGTTATTTACATAGCTTGACTTTGTTTCTTGCCGCAGGTATTTCGTGGCAAGCTCTAGACTTTGACGATTTCGCGTGCCCACCCGAGTTAGCAGCGATGGACGCCTCGGTTACCGCCTCGGAAGGTGATAATGCAACTCTCCGTTGCGAGATTGACTCTCAGTCGCCGGCTGACATCCGGTGGTCGATCAGGGGCCGGCAAATACGAAACATGACAATGATGTCGTTCGGCAACCAAATGTACGTTGTCCAGGAGAAGTATATTTCCGCTGTTGGATTCAACTTCAAATCCAGTGTCCTCACGATTGTCAACGTAATGCCAAAGGACGGCGGTCCCTACAGTTGTGAGGCGATTAATCGTGCCGGCAACGTATCGGCTTCTATGACGCTCATCGTTCATCCACGTGCCGAAGCGTCCGTTGTTCTCATAGCTTCAGTTGAAATAGGCGGAGTCGTTATTGGAGTCTTGTTGACCATCGTTGTTCTCGTAGGTTCCGTCTGCCTGGTCATGCAGCAATATTCGCAGTACTGTGAAGAACGCGATGCTCTTGAGGCGGCCATTCCGGGAAAAAAGCAAAATGGCATGACCACCCTTCCTGACACGGGGACGGATCGCGCAGGCCAGCGTTTTGCTGCTGAAACAAACGATGCGTTTTACAAATCTTCTAATCGAGCCCAATCGCCTCCATCATCGAACATGAAGGAAAAGCCATGCTACGAGACGATTGTCACTGTCCAAAAGAACAACACCATTGACTGGACGACAATCCCGACGTCTGTCCTTACGGAACCCACAATCAAAACTGGCATAGGTACTGTAGCGTCGATCGTTCTATCGTCGGCAGGATGTCAACAATCTCCTGAAGTTAGCACAGAAAGCGTTCCTCCAACGATACGATCAGGCGCGGCGTCGTCACTCGCTCCTGCTCGATTATGTTACCATACGAATGTCGAAACTCCGATTAACCCAGAAGATGGAGGACATAATCGCAGTACCGACGGTAATTGTAGTACTAGCTATAGCAGTTTGATTAGCCATAGCAATTATGCGACTTGTAAAACTGCAACGTCGTTGACAGGAGTCACTTCACATGTAGGGACGCCGTTGACGTCTACCGAGCTGTTGACCACAATAGGGTCATCGATTTGCAGTGCTAGCCATTATAGCCATCATCATATCGATATGCTCCTTCCAAATCCGGAAAATTTTTCCCACAGTACGCCTGTTCACTATCATGATAAAGACGGGACTATTCACATATATCAAAGCGGCCTAGAAGGTAATAGGCAGTTAACAGGTAATGTGGTTTTAACTAATCTTCTGCACCAGTCCGCCTTAGCATATGTAGCTGCATCGTCTTCGGAAGAACCCATCGAAGATGGCGCCGGCGGCGAAAAGAAGACGTTTGATCGCACGACCACTGCTAGCAGACTCGTGAAGGCCATAGTTAGTGAACTCGAAGAGCGGATCGCTGACCGTATCACTGAACACCTTCGAAAAACTGCCGTCGCCACCAATGAAAACCTCAACGAAAGCAGCGCAGTTCCGTTGCCAGCAGCAAAGGCATGTCATAGCAATATAAGTAGCTCTACTACCCATAATTGTGACAATAGCAGTGGAACAGCTATTGATGTAGCCTATTTGGGCCAATCGCGGACCTATCACGCGGCACGGGGAGAAACACAGCCGCATGCGTTCTCATTGGTGCCAGCGGTCGGAAACAGTCTTGAGCGTTACCGGGTTGGTTCATCAACGGGAAAAAGCTCAATAACGGCATGCAACGTGTCGACTAGTTTGGTTCAGGGGTCAGTACCTCCGAGATCAGTGGCTGAAAGGGCAATCGAAATCGCTGGGCCACGTCGTGGAAACGTCAACTTCGAAGCTCTGTTAAGACAAAGAGCATCGAGAGACAGTCCCGACGAAGGCCTCGGTGACGAGGTGCGCGAAGATGATAGCCACCGAAACAAGGACATGCATGGAGCCCCTTACTGCTGAGCCAATTTTCAATGCGTAGTTTGTATCGCTTCCTGTGTGAGAAGCTATAAAATAGACACAAGAGGCTAGAGAAACGTTCGTCATAGGAATGGGACGGTAACATCATATAATCGCCCTTACGCGTACGATCTGACGTTTATCAGTACTATTTTCAATTGATTTTTCCATCAACACTAGCAGTAAGCGATACGAGTCAGAACTTTCGCCCGATCATCATCTTATGAAAGTCAAATTTACTCGAGAACTGTGCGCGTGCGAGTTGGTACGTGAAACGATCAGTCACACGACTATATTTATTGGTCATATATTAATCAATGTCTGATCAAGGACCTCACTACCTTTTACCTTAGTAGCAGTTTAAACTCTTTACATGGACTCAATTTACAGAACGATCAAAAATGACTACTTTCATAAATATAAAATATGCACCTCAAATATAGATTTGCATTTAGTTACTACCATAAACATAACAGTTCCCGACCATTATCTGCTCGACGATCTTCAATGTTTCGAATAGTTCTATTGCTTTTATTACTACCCAACGCTTGGTTCGTAAACATCCCCAAACGAACATTTAGAATAATAATGCGTAGACATAATTCAATCAGAGCTACCTATTCGTACTGAAGAAGTTATCCAACCTTAGGGCCTTGACCTCCCACGGCGCCACGCATCACTAGAATACCTCTGTTTCTCTTTTGATAAACTGATGATGCTTGCACGGCCTACTGGCCGGGAAGTGGGGTCTCTCTGGTTGTCGACAGAATCATAGCGGTTGAAAATATATCGTCATTCGGCTAACGCGAGTGCGTTGACCGCCACGCGACACCTTGATCGAAACACATGTAACGTCCTCAAATAATTTTCAGGTAAATTAACATTATCATTACATAAATACACCAAGCAAAGCGTCTGTGATCTGTATGTTGGATATGTGTAGGGCATAGGTAAAATTTGCCTTGTTCGAGCAACACTTACGTGTCGGATCACGGACATCCGATGATTCAGAAGGCAAGGGGTGGCATAATGACTCATCAGTCACCGATGCGACTCGACGGGTCATAGACCGAAAGTAATAGTGGGAGCGGTTTGCTTGAATGAAAAAGAGGAAAAACAGAAAGGATCGATGTGTGGTACGCCGTGGTAACGTGTAATGGTTAGCGTTAAACGTCAAAGAACAAGAGTTTACTGACAAAGTTTATAAAATGATATGAAACTGATCAGAAACGGACTAAAAACGTGAAGGACTACTGCAGTAGTCAGTAGCTGTTGGTGTCATTCATTTTTAAAGTTAAACGAATACGATAGCAGCTACGCAAAGGTCCTGTTATCTAAACCTCTTGAGTACGCACCCCTTGAGTACGCTATATACACTTTAGCTTAGGCCATAGGATAGCGTATGGCTGTCAAGTTGCACTAAGGCATTTCTTGTATACCATTATCATTATATGTATGTTACCCGATTAGTTTCCTTATTTTACAACTGGACATTATCCACGAGCATACATCACAAACAAGCCTATTACCGGTTCTAATTAAGGCCGACAGCGTACAACTAGAAAGGATATGATCACTCGAAATCATTGACATTAGTACAGAGGCAAAGAACTTCAGGCAACAAGCTAACATGCTGAATGGACTGAAACAATAAGGGCAAGCCCGAAAGAAAATATCGCTATTTTATTAGTTTTACAGTTCGTAGAAATCGACATCACTACAGTTATTTTACGTATCGAACCCATTGTATCTTTTTTTTCCTATTAATCTAGACGATACCCCCTCATACACCCCTAATGAGGACACTTTAGGCCGTCGTCGTACGCTGGATCTGCGGGGGTCTTGTAACCTCCGCTGAATTTTCTCTGTGTAAACACGCGGTACCAAGAGTCCGGCTGCTGGGGCGATCATGTTAACCCAATAACCCAACATATTTTCTATGTGTACATAATAATCAATGTAATGCAATGTAATTAACTGGGAAGAGAATACACACGAACTACGAACGTGTGAACACACACAGGTCAGCAATGCTATAACTACTGATAGTAGTAGAGACGTATCAAGTCGTTGTCCTATTCGAAGTTAGCTCTGTTTTTTTCATCAAGTTAGGGCCATTTGTGCTAAGGCGTAAAACAGAACAAAGTCCAATGTAGTAATTTAACCGTTCGAGAAAAGACAATTCGACTTCCTGCTCTCTATACTTAGACACTGATCTTTTCAAATCGTGCACGTGCATTGCAAAAAGGAAATTCTGATGACGTTTTTGCTATTATTACAACTACAAATTTTTGAGGCATCTATGAGGTATATAGAAGCAATTGGTTGTTATACATGATATGTGCATGTGTGCAGATGATGGTGTTGATAAAGATATGGGACTCGATAATAAAAAGGAAAACTTGAAGCCCCAAAACTTGAGTACTTCTGTCCGTATTGGGTATTCATTTCTGCCGAAACTTTTGCCGACCCAATCAGTGTTTCACTCATTTGATTATAAAAGAAAAATCATCTCTTAGATACAAGCCGCTGCACGCTTGCCCCGTAAGCTGAAGACGTACCTTCAAGGCGCGAAAGCATATCCATATAGAATTGGCTAATTTGATACTCATTTACGTTCAGATGTGTCTAGTAGATTCCAGACTGCAAACGGTTTGTATATACGTAGGGTAAGACAAAAACAGGCCTATAGTGGAAAAACACTTGACCAAACATGGGTCTACAAGTGTGAAAAAAAAAACAGGTCTAGCTCGAACTCTCTACCTTCTGCCCCAAAAGAAAATCTACTTTCCACAGCTTTTGTTACTGTATGCCTAATTTTGTCCGATCCTATGCATATATTATGGATGTCGACAAAGTAGCCTACGTTAGTACGGGCACCTCTAGTATGTGTAAGTAGGTCCCACTATGAAAGAGAAGAACACGATGTTTAATAAATGCAAAGGAACAGGACATTGCTTTGGAATATATTATATAAAAGTAGGATAGATGAGTATAAAATATTAAATAAAGTCGTTAAAGTTCATGTTCAAATTAATGAGAGAGCAACACGTACTCAATTTACTAAATGCGACTTAAGTAAATTAAATTTACTATAACTTCATTGCAATTACAGCAATGTGTACAATATTGTATGTATTATAATTATATTAATCATTATGTATGTATTATAATAATAATAACAAATGTATAATAATTGCACGTAATAAACTAATCAGCTGTTTAATATATTTCAGCTTTATAACAGTTTGCCGCCATGCAGTAACATACTTGTTTAAATCACAAAATTGAATATAGCTGATATTTTGACGATTTCCGTTAAGCTAACAATGAGATCTTCAAGCGGAGCATTTCTATCTAACAAAACTTTGAGTTTTTTTAAGGACTCAAACGAGTTCCAGGATATGAAATAAAGATCTATTATTTGCATAACGCAAAAGTGCAGGTGTCAGAATGTTGTCACATTTTCTTCACGACCGTGAGTCTTACGACAAAGATGACGCACAAAGAACGTCAGAATCAGACTGGCGGGGAAACTTACAAAAAACATCCGGATAATATGGACGACTTTGCATTTTTCCTTCCCCATTTATAAAACGTCTCTCATCTGCTTTGACAGACATACGCTGCGGGAAAACATTTTTCAGCGTCCCTTACATGCAGATTCTAGAGACCCAAATATGAATTTTGAAAACATCCTGTCGCCTTAAGAGCCCACGACAAGAGATGGCCGGTCACCTGTACACGAAGAATTTCCCCTTCAAAGAAACAACAACGCTTATCTTAGGCTTTTTCTTCTCTGCCGAATGGTCATAGCTCTGAATAGCTTGCTGAAAAACTATCAAAAGCATCTACACAAGTACAGAACCATATAGCTATCCATCGTTGCCGCAAACTTGAAAATCACTCCCTGATTTTACTACAGTTATTGGCGGCAATAACGATGACAGCTTCGAAAAGCGTCGATTTGATACGTTAAAGCTAACAGTTGTCTTTGTGATTTTTTGCGAATCGGGTGACGACGGCATTCCCAGCTTGGGTCATACCTTCTGGAGATCGACGAAAAAGAATTGACCACAAGAGGAAAACAGAGACTTCCTGCAACAAAAAAAAAAAAGCGCTCGCGTTGTATGTACTGTGTAGCTTTATTGGAACTTCGGTTGAAACTAACGTTACTGGACTGCCTCACACAGCGTAGGTAATCCAGTCGAACTGTCCATACCATTGTATGCTTACTCATGAATATCTGTGTTACAATTAGGTGAAAGTTTCGTTCCCCTCCACTCGGTGCTACTTCTTCGCTTGCTACTCTAATTTGACTTAGATATCATTGAAAAATTAGAATATCGAATAAAATGCTCGACTCGATCCTTCAGTGGCCTATAAGTATATAGTGTGAATAATACAATTGTATCTTTGAAATAAGAATTATTGAAAAAAAAAAAAAGTCTTCAAGCCTCCGTGCTTGTCAACATTACAAGAATGGCCAAAAGACAGAACGCCATATTGGCTATCCAGAACACTCTGAACGTCTATTATTACCTAGCAAATTATCACAATATGCACATCAAAACGTTACCAAACGCTTCACCGTCAGACAACGTTCTCCTATTCAAATAGACCATGGCATCCATCTAGAAAATGCTAGACAATTAATGTAAAATATGATGACAACGCCGTTATCCTTGAAAACAACGAACACAGCGACAGCTACGGCCATAGATGGCGAGTCACATCAGGTACGTAACTTATACGTTCGCCCGATGATTTATCAAACTGTCAAGATAGCTATACCAATAAGTCTGTGTCTTTGTATGAGCAAGGGTAACTAAGGCGTGAGCTGCCTCCCTCTGGCAAATCGAAATAAAATAAAGAATGAACCGAAGAATACCGACCGTGTTCGCCCATTGTTCCGCTTAAGCCTAGTTATTTACTCCTCTTTCGCTTCACGACGGCTCGATCCCTTCAGTCTTTCCCCTACGATAGACTTCAAGCCAGGCCGCTTTGACGATCGATGGAGCGGACAACGCAACTCTCATCCCTAGCTTGATGACAATAGTAACAACACAGGATAAACAGAAGGCAGTGATTGTCCGCTCATTGCAGTAGGGGGCTAATGCAAACTTGCTAAGAGTACTGAACGCGGCTTGACGACTGAAGTCGCCAATGTCGAAAACACGAAGCTGACGACCAGACACGTTTCGCTAATTGAACTAAAATACCAGGATAGGGCAGCTCACAACGATTCAAGCCTATTTCTTTCGCTGCCTTAATTTTACGATTAAAAACGTGAGGAGAAGGTGAAAAGACGACAGTCAAACAATAGGTCCTTTAGAGTGGGTTTTTTGTAGGGGTGACATTTAGCATTGATGAAGCTCGACACATCTGCCTAGTCCTGTCATAGGCTCGAAAACCAGTGTGGTTCAAAAACTGACCCGCGACCAAATCGCGTACGTTGTCGAGGCAACAACGTCTGAGATTGCTTCCAACAAGTGATTCATGTAGTAGCAAACAAAATATAATGGGGCGCGAAAGTTTTTTTCAGGACACGGCTACAGGACATGAACGCATCATTTTATCTGGCATAGTTTGACCTTGTCCACGACTATATCTATTTACAAGAGAAGCACCTCATATGGACGTTGGAAGTATTATCGCGGGATCCATGACGTCGCTGGTTTTTGCAGTCAGACTGATAAGCCTTATTATCGACGTTTGCATGTTTTGATTTGATAAAAACAATAATAGAAAATATTTACATACAAATTGCCATTGGGCGGATATTATCAGATGTTATGCATTACATAAGTTAGGATGGGATTCAGTTTGTTTCAAGATTCACCTCCATAAACTCGGAAGTATATAACGGATGCGAGGTTAAATCCGGCGGAAGAAAATAATGTCTTTCATGTTTGCGAACGCGAAGTAGTTAGCCAAACTAGACCCAGTCTGCATAAGGCCGTTTTCAGCGTGTGGGTCCTGCCCAAAATTATCTCGAACCAATGTTTATCCTCCACTTAACTTGTTTTTCTAGATGCGAGCGGTTTCATTGGCTTTCCCAACGAAAAGTAGTATCTACCATGACAGAAGAGAGAGATTTCCGATTCCATCAAAGGTCTGTGATTGTGCACTTCACTAAAGCACTAGACATTTTGTTACTATTCGGGCCGTTTCGATGCATTTAGGGGAACTCATGAGTAGTTTCCAACAACCGCGCCCCGCTGATCCTGGCGAGCACCGCGGTCCATGCATTGAGGTCCATTGCACTTAGCCGTAAACCGTAAGTTTGTGCTGGCCGATGTAACCATGCGTCTATTGCGCAACAGGAATGCCTCAGGGATTATTATGTTAGGGAAATATTAATGACAGCATGCAAAACGGCACTGCTAATTAACGATCCCAAACGTTAGGTACGGCGCTACATGCGCTTTCAAAGGCCATTGGCAAGCGGGCAACAGATTAACCAAAGTGGTCACAACAGAAAAAGCAGACCTTTACACGACAAGGTAAGAAGATTTCTGAAGACAGATAGTAAATAAATGTGTAAAATACTTAGTACTGGTTATTCAGTGTCCAGGCTGGTTCGCGTAAAATAAGTACAAAAAAATCCCTTGCGCTCAATTTTCAAACGTAATCTCAAAAGTAATCAAACGTTTTCCCTGTTCATGGCTCAACCAGACGATGTATATTTGTGTTATTATATATATATATATATATATATAATATACAACTGTATAAACGGTTGTTAGGAGTCTCGTAGCGATATTTACACTTTTTCCAAAATGGCAGACGTTGCCCGACGACCAAAACGATGATTACTAAAAATATTAATGGATTTGGCTCGTAAGAATATTGAGGGTTTACGAAATAACATGAAACGAAACATACATATAAACATAATGGAGAAGACACAATTCAACTGTTATTTATAAAATCAGCGCCGTATAAGGTAAATGACAGTCAATTTCTAGCTTATAGGGTCAGTCATAAACGATTATACCGTAATCATAGAACGGCTATAATGATGTATATCACTTAAGAGGCAGAGTCGAACCTCGAAATAGAGAACAGCTCCTAACTAGCAGGTAAAAATAGGGATTTCAACGATTACTATATTTAGGGAGACAGAACGAGCCCCCGTGATGGCTTAGGGGGTAACAATATTTTCCTGCTCATTTTAGGGACAGATTGCGCCTTGAACACATCTAGGCTTAGTTTCATGCCTAACCGTCATATTGGACGTGAGACTTGAAACACAGAACAAGATTAGCCCTTTTGTCGCCTGTGTATTTCCACGTCAACAGAACACAAAATTATGGCCATTCAATAACTAACAGTTACAAAAATATTACTCAACAAACAAATGCGCAACGTCTTTCTCATTCTATTCATCTATAACCAGATTCATTTTGAATCTGGTTATACTCTTAACTAGTATGTTTTTGAACGTGCCTCTGTTTAATAATCAGCTGCTGTTCCTAGAAGAATCAGAGACCATAGGTGAGGTAATGACTCAAGCGGCTTTCCCCGATAAAATACGATACCATTTAGGAAAAGAAATAGGCAAAACAGGTTGAAGTAGATTCTGCTACAGATTTTTTCATGGGCTTCACTGCTATTCAACTGCGCTTTAAAACCACCTCCGCCTATAAACCTTCTTAGAGCACCCTTAAGTTTTTACACATGGTCAGCCATTAATTCTTGTATAACATACCCGTATCATTAATGGATTCCCATACACGGTTATATGTAATCGCGAAATATTGTGTTAAGTTATTTCACACGCCAAAAAATCTATCAGCTTTTCTCTTGCGGAGCTTTCGAAGACAATCGGTTTCCACATGACTAAAATCATATTTGGGCAATCTAATAATAATAATAATAACAAAGAATAGAGGATACCTTAAAACCAGTATTGTTTTACGGTCCTTGTCTACCCAGACATCTGCCTACACTCACTGAGTAT